AAGCTCTAAGCTCTCTTTTTTTTTTTGCTATTTTTATTGGGGGTTGTTAAAACATTTTCATGTTTTTGTTTAAATAGAAGTAGGTTTGGATAATTTAAAGTCAAACTGTCAATTGTTTTTATGATTTAATCAAAAACTTTATGTAAGTGTTTATATTTGCAAATAAACTGATTTAGATAAAGACACAAGTGTCTGTTAACTGTAAATATCCACTACAGTTAACAGACGCTTGTGTCTTTATCTAAATCAGTTTGTCCGCAATCATGAAATTTAACTTATTTCAAGTTCTAATCTTGAATAAAATAACCACCATTGTTTGAATATGATTTATATATTTTGAGTTTTTAATAAAAAAACGATATTTCTTGAGTATGAGTTTTTTATAATTTAAACCCCATTGCTTTGATATAAATTATGATATATGTTACGATATATATTTTGATACATTTTGACGTTTCAGAACTATATTAAATGTACATCGAACCTAATAAATCTAATATCTAAATCTAGGATCCAAAAAAATGATAATATTTTTTTTTAAACTTTTATATTTCTGAGGGGTTTTTATCTTAAGACAAATATACCGTCTTCTTATCAAAGCATCCTTAGAAAACGCGAGGCCTGGAGCAAAAAACATTTTTGTGAGACCATCTTGTCCATCATTTTGACGAAGAAAAACCTTTTCTCTTACTGTTTGAAAACAGGTTGTATAAGTGGAAAACATAAATTTCAAGTTGATATATTTTTGAGTTGTTATTTTCGTGTATGTTTATAAAAAGGACTGATTGCTTTATTAAATAATCTAGAATAATAACAATCTCTCTATAATAATACTGGACTTAATAGTGCACTTTCGAGCCTGTTTGACACGATACTCTTGGCAACCATTGCATCCGAGGTAGTGACGAGAAAGAGTCTCAGCTTTGCTTTATAAGAAAACGTGAGCAAACGTGAAACTCATATCGTACGTACCTAAACTTCATGTTATGTAATGTTAAAACATGCTTAAACATATATCAAATTCAACAGTTTGATTTTCACTTAAGAACTGCATTTCGTCAACCTTTGCTTAATTTCTAATCTTTTGTATTTATATCTGTTAAAAACAATTTTTATATAATTTGAAATCTTATACCTAAGCGTGACTGCGTAGTAGAGTGGATTGCGCGCTGGACTTCTGACCAAATTAGCCGTGGTTCAAGTCCTACCACTGAGGGCTTTCTTTGCGCATGTGTCATTTTTGAGATACTTTTGTTATTTTAGTAAAACTTTTTAAAACTAAATTGAGTTTGTGCAAGAAAAATTAGTAAAAAACATGTTTATATATAATATAAAATCTATACAAGTTTTGATTTGCATTTTAAACAACAAAACCGCGTGGCAGGCTGATTAACTTTTTGTCGTTTACTAAAATAAGTTGAAGTATAAAGACTAAATTAGAAACAAGTTTAGAAATGGTTGGGTGATGATTAGATTTACCACAACCTGGTGAATAAATCTCAAAAACCTTGCAGCTTTTTCCACCTCAGCCAGTAGAAGTTCTCGAAGAACCTTAAGTTCAGAAAAAAGGTAATTTCCACAAAAATTATTTTCTTCTTCAAAACTTAGAAACGATTCTAGGTCTTTACACCTTTGAAACAATTTATCTTCTTTTACTACTTTTAGTTTTTTTACATGATACAAAAATCCAAACATAGTATTGTAATTAGTTATTTGTTCAAATCTTCTGTAATAACAAAAAATACTCCACTTTAAGCATTTGCTTGGTGGATCCTGCCATAGGATTTCCCTCCTACTCAGACAATTTTTTTTTCTCTGCCTGGCTTCTTTGAATTTTGGCTCTACACCAAGAGTTCCACTAAGTTCTCTTGCTAACAATGTTGCCGCCAAAAAACCTAAATCTAAATGTCTGAAAAAAACTGAATTAGTTTTTGAAGTAACTGCAACGCAACTCCAAGGTGCATTTTTTGAGTCTGTAGGCTTTTTTTTTATAACTTATTTTATTCATAACTGATGATGTTTCACTATTGGCTTTTTTTTTTTTTTTTTTTTTTTTTTTTTTTTTGATACTTATTGAACTCAACTGCAACTAGTGAACTCATCTGCAGTTTACTTTTCCAAAGAATATCACAGGACCTTATTACAGCCAGATTTAGTACGTGTTGAATAAAAATTTGCGATTGCATTTTTGACGAAGAAAAAAGTACATAAGTTATTTGCAAAACAAAGCGTCATAGATTTAAATAACCATTTTGCTGCGTCCCAAATTAGGGAGTTGAGGCTGAGGCTAGCGCACGGCATATAAAATGCTTTTGGATTTATTTCTAAGATCCATGCCTGTACTTAAGAGTGGGTAATTTTTATATTGGAACCGTTGTCATACCTATGTCCCCTTCAGTCCCTGATTTGCATTCCAGTTTCATCTAACTCTTGTAAAAGAACATCAGTTAGATTTTTTCTCGTTGTTGGTTTAACGTCTAAGAATCCAAGAAAATGTTCTTCTATGCTTACGTCTTCACTTTCACTCTTTACGTCTTCACTTTCAATTAATATGAATGCAACTTCTTTAAAAGAAGTTGCATTCATATTAATTTTTATTAATCGCATGACCTTCTGACTAAATTTTTGAATTTTATTTTAAATTCTTTTATTTTATTCGTTCTCGTTTCTTCTTTTTAGATATTTTATTTTTTCTTATTTTTTAATTTTGAAAAACAAAATGAAATTTTCGCCTGATCTAATATTTTTTTTTAACTTTTTCACTGTATAAACAGAAAAGCTTCAATAGCTTCGAACAATGGTTTGCATTTTTTTTGTTCGCTATTTCACTTACAAAGGACAATCACGTTGAAATTTTTTTAATTAATAAATAGTTGCGCGGGTAGTTAGATCTTTTTTATTGTTATATTATTTTAATTTAACCAAAACTTTTTCTTATTTTTTAACGACAGAAACGCCTTTTATTTTTTAACAAAAGTAAGGCATTGCTGCACGAGGCCATACTCTCGTTAACAATAAGTAAAATTTTTGATTGCTCGTGTTTAAGGTAACCTTCATAACCACGAGTCCTGGAGCGGCTATTCCACTTGCGCCACCCTAAAGTTAACTCTGCTTCTCAGTTTTTTTTTAGATCTTAATCGGTGAAAAAAAATTTTTTTTGCTCTTAGTCGGCAAAGAACAGATACGTCAAACCCCCCCTCCTCCCTTCTTTCTATTAAAATCTTCGGGAAGACCCTGTGTGTAGGTATTTTGTATTACCACATTCAGATAAGGAGGTAAAACAATCAAAGTAGAAAGCAATATTGGCGAAACGTTGGCAAAATAATGATGACAATATTAGCATTTTATTGGAAAATGTTTTGGCCAAATATAAAATGTTAATATCTCAACAATTTGGCGAATATTTTTTTTGTGGTATAGGACCAGAACAAGTTTTATATATAGCGCAAGAATAAAATGTAAAATGAGCACAATATAGTACTCAATCTTGGCCTTATTATTGAAAAACAAAGAGGCTGAAAATCTGACAAAAGCATACTATTGTGAAGTTTAAATATAAATAATAAATTTTGATAAATATTTAGTTTGCATACATTCAAGACATAAATTTATTTTAGTAAAGGCTTGGCGCATGCATAATTGTTTGCATTAAAAATTACCCGAGTTGCTTGTTTTTGTTTGCTATAAATTTTCTTTCAGTACTACTCTTTATATTTAGTATTATTTCTAAGCTATACTAATAGTCGTTTTCACCCTAAGAATGGTTGTCTTCGCTTAACGAGTTTTACTAATCTCTTTACAAATAGTACTATTTGTTTAACGAGCAGAACTGTTTCTAAGGTTAAGTACTATTCGTTTAACGAATACTATTATTAGATTAACGAGTTGTACAATTCGTTAAGCTTTAGTACTATTCGTTAAGGTGGTACAACACCAAAAATACTAGAAAACTAAAAATCTTTTTGAGTTTTTCAAATTTGCATAAAATATTTGTTAAATTAATTAAAGAACGTTTAGCCAAAGTTTCTGTGCTAAATAATTTATTTTTCTTTAGATATGAGCAATTTATTAGAACACTATGCATCTTTTTTTCCTTAGCAAAGGAGATACTAAATATTTAACATATGATACTAAATATATAACACAATTATATATTGTATATATATTGTGTATATATAGGTACATACATACATACATACATACATACATACATACATACATACATACATACATACATACATACATACATACATACATACATACATACATACATACATACATACATACATACATACATACGACTTTTTAAATACTTAGTTTAATTACTTAATACTATTAAGTAATTAAACTAAGTAATTAAAAAAACGACATGCTAAAATTTTATGTATTTTATCATTTGCCATAACGTTAAATATATAAATATAATAGGGGAAAGCGCCTATGATGGCATAGCGCCTATAATGGCATACCGGTCATATTTTCATAAATATTGGTTATGGCAAAAAAGTGATTAGATTAACATGTCTATACTGACTATACATTAGTTTTCGTTAAAATACGTCCCTTATGCACAAATATTGCTTTTATAATCAACAAAAATCGACGTGTGCTTTTTTTTTAAATAAAAATAACTAATAAAAAATTAAAACTATTAAAAACTTTTAGGGTTATCATTATTCTACATGTAACAAAGAATGTATCCATATTAAAACTTTTGTTCTTGGTCCTCAGGATTCTGAATAATAAAGTTTCAAAGTTAAGTATGCCATCATATTTATTTTTAATAATTGGATATTGTAAAAGTTATTAAAAAAATATCTGTCGCCAGTTTTTAATAAATAATATTTATTAATAAATAATATTTAATACACTATTATAAATTTAATATAATAAATAATGTTTATTAAAAACTTGCGACCACGCTGTATTATGCTAATAGTTTTGCCAAATTACAACAAAAAAAAAAATAAATTTTTAAAATTTAAATATATATACTTTTA